CACAAGAGCAGAGTAGAGGGGGAGCCCATGGAGCCCATGAGTCAGTGAGTGCTGGGACAGGGACAACCCTCCGTGCTGGTCCTGGGAACTGGTAGCATGAGGCATCTGCAGAAGCCTCATGCTACCAGATCAGTCTGCAGGAGTCAATCTAAGAGTTGAATAGGTATTAGCATTTGTTACCTCTGTGTGATTTGTGTAGCCCACATTTGAAAACAAACAAGTGAATCCCCTGGGTTTCCAAGGGTGTGCTGCCAGACATCTGCTTTTCCAGGGTGGCAACAAGGCAGACACCTCCCTGCCTACCTTCCCATGCAAACTGCTCACAGCACCACATGGGCTGTGCTGATGATGGCAAGCAGGCTCTTTCCAAGTCAGGGTGACTTGCTAACACAAGGACGTAGTCACAAGACAGGTTCGAGGGGAAGTCGGCAAGGCAAAATCAGGACCAGCAGGTTACTGTGCTGGTTTGGGCTGGGAGACAGTTAATGTTCTTCACGATAGCCAGTATGGGGCAGTGTTTTGGGTTTGTGCTGGAAACAGTGTTGGTAACACAGGGACGTTTCAGTTACTGCTGCGGAGTGCTTACACAACAGAGTCAAGGCCTTTTCTGCCTCTCACCAGCGAGTGGGCTGGGGGTGCACAAGAAGCTGGGAGGGGACACAGCTGGGACAGCTGACCCCAACTGACCAGAGGGATATCCCATACCCCATGGCGTCATGCCTAGCATATAATGCTGGGGGAAGAAGAAAGAAGGGGGAATGTTTGAAGTGATGGCGTTTGTCTTCCCAAGTCACCATTAACACATGCTGGAGCCCTGCTTCCCTGGGGATGGCTGAACACCTGCCTGCCCATGGGAATTGGTGAATGAATTCCTTGTTCTGCTTTACTTATGTGTGTGGATTTTGCTTTACCTATTGTACTGCCTTTATCTCAGCCCACAAGTTTTCTCACTTTTATCTTTCTGATCCTCTCCCCTATCCAACCGGGAGGGAGTGAGCAAGCGGCTATGTGGGGTTTAGTTGCCGGTGGGGGTTAATCCGCAACAGTTACAAAGACAGGTGCATGCAGACTTCCAGTGCAGCTCAGGTGAGGACCCAGGGCTAGGTTGTGAGCTCAAATCCAGCTCCTGAAACAGCAGGCAGAAGGTGCATGGGCGGGGAGAAGAGATGAGGGTGCTCATAGTGTGGTATCAGAACTGACCTTCAGTTTAGGCAACCAGAGCCCTGGGGGAGAGGGGGAAGAGGCTGCAAAGCCTGTCATTGCAGCCAGGGCCCAGACAGCGTGGCCACCCCAAAGCTGACTCTTCTCCAGGATGAGTAGACCCACCTGCCTCAGCGTCTGTGTGTGTGTCCTGTGCTCCAGCCCCTGACCAGCTCGATGGCCCCTGCTGCACTCGCTCACTCACTCCAGCATGTCGGTGTCCCTCTTGTGTCAGGGAGCCCCAGGCTGGGTGCACAGCTCCAGGTGTGCTCTTGCAAGCGTGAAAGACGAGGAAATGATCGCTGCTCCCCCCCGCCCCTGCTGGCTAGGAGTTCGTTCGTGCAGATCAGAGCTCTTGGTCTACATCTCTGCAGGGGCCCATGGTGCCCACCAGGGCCCTCGGGTCCGTTTTGAAGAGCTTACTCTCTAGACAGGTGGCCGCAGCCCATACCAGCCCATGGGGTTGTTCTGTCCCAGGGCCTTGCCTTTGTCTTAATTGATCACCACGGGGTTACCATCAGCCCGTTTCTCCAGGATCCCACATTTGGTATCATCTGCGAACTTGCTGGGAGTGCTCTCTGTCCCTAGTCTGAATTGCTGCTGAAAACACAAAGCAGCACCGGCTGCAGGATCCGTCCCCAAGGGGTGCCACTAGCCACAGTTCCTCAGCTGGACCCTGTGATGCTGACCACCACGCCTTGAGCCTCTCAACTTCCTAGCCAATTTCCTACCTGCCTATCCAGCCCGTGTCTCACCAGTCTGACTATAAGTATCCTACGGCAGGTTGGGGCCCAGACCTTGCTAGGTCAAGGTGACCATATCCACACCTCTCCCCTCTTCCATAAAGCCGGTCACCTCCTCGCAGGCTGGCCAGGCATTATTTGCCCTGTTTAAATCTGTGCTGGATGTTTGCAGCATGTTCTGCAATTGCTCCTGGGAGGATGCGTATCATAATTCTGTGCACTGTTAATAGCTTTGGATTGCATTTTCTTACCCATTTAAGATGCCTGCAGCCTAATTATTTTGACATACAGTTATTCCCAGTCCCAGAAGGTGTGCTCATTGTGGAAGAATACAGAAAGTTCCCTTTGCATAGCTTGAACTGTTTGCTGCCACACCAAACCTTTTGGCCCTGGAGAATGTGGGTCACTCAGTCCTGCAGGCACCTACCCCTCTCATTGCCCTTCCACCCTCCCACCTCTGAAACATTTCAATTCCAGGTCTAGAAGGAATAGGAGCATCAAAATACGCTGAACTCAGGCTGCTGTTTTCCCAACTGTCACTCTTCCACAAGCAGCAGAGGGGAAAAGAATTTTATGCCATGCAAATAGGTATTTAATCCTGTTCCCTTCTCAGTTTCTCTATCTGTCTAAAACTAACATTGTACTTATCCAAACTTTGCTAACACACACGATAATATGAGTACACTGGAGTCCTGCTTTGTTTGCTGATAACACATTTATTCAATTTCTGTTTGCTTATTTCTTTATGACTGAAAACATCCATCTCCATTCTATGCATTTATATGAAAAATTAGCATTCAGAAAAATATTACTACGCAATAGCATAATGTAAATGTCAAGCATATTTGAAGAAATAAATCATTAAGCTAATACCCAAGGAAGTATTTTGCCTCTTGATTTCTTAAGAGAATGACAGATTTTGGCAGAACTTGGGTTTTTTTTAAGATCTGGAAGGCAGTAAATTATCAATAGCAAAACACGATAGTCCTCATAACTCAGAGAAATATATTACTACGCAATAGCATAATGTAAATGTCAAGCATATTTGAAGAAATAAATCATTAAGCTAATACCCAAGGAAGTATTTTGCCTCTTGATTTCTTAAGAGAATGACAGATTTTGGCAGAACTTGGGTTTTTTTTAAGATCTGGAAGGCAGTAAATTATCAATAGCAAAACACGATAGTCCTCATAACTCAGAGAAATATATAGATAGCAGACACCCCACCTCCACCCACACCCCCAATTTTGGTAATATTCCCTTTGTAAAATCCAAACCATATTGCATGTAAAGAAACTACATGACTGGTGTCTTACTGAATATTGTTTTAAAAATTGAGGGCTTTACTCTGCACATTCTTATTCATGTATATCATTCCTGTACATTTGCATCTGTAATGGGTTTGCAGGGTACAGATGCTCCGTGTCTTGGCTCCTTCTGAGGTGTCATGCAGGGGATGGTAAGGAAGTAGCTCTGTGGAGGTTCCCAAGTCTAGTATCCATGATTCTTGTAATACTTGGCTCGTGCAACTACATCATTGGAGTAGTCATTGTGGGTGGTGCCAATGTCCATTCTGTCATAGCTTCGGACATTCCCAGGACCAGCGTTATAGGCAGAAATCCCACCTGAAATGAAACACCCGAAGTCAGACAGACTTAGTAAAAATAGGGAATATTCCAGCCTGATGTGTTCTGCTTTTACTGTTTTTTCCATGCTTTCGCTTATGAGGACTTCGGAAGGGGAGTAGGCAGTATTATCAGAGCTCCTCTGACTTAAGTGGGGCTCTGCAAATGGCTTACAGGTCTTCCTAGATCCACCAAAACATCAGAAAGATACCTGAGGTTTTGTGTTCACAGGTATTTGCAGCTTGGTAAACTTGCATCATTCACCTGGCCCGGCACAAGCCCTTCATTTACACAGGGCTTGTTAATATCGTATCATGTCATATGTCATGTCATGTCATGTCATATCATATCCAACATCCTTGTAACCTCTCCCTCTTCCTTGAAAATTACTGCCCTTAGAAGAGTTAAAACACACTCGTACATTGCATTATCGTTGTCCACAGCGGCGTATATGCCACTCCATATGCCGTGTGGAAAGCAGAGGTGTCTGAGGTGGGTGTAAAACGAGCCCGCCTTGGCACCCCAGCAGTCCAAGGGGGTTGTGGGGTGCAGCCTGCTTTGGAGCAGGCAGCTTTTCCACATTGTGCAGCACAGTGTTGCAATTCCCTGAGAGCAAACACCTCGTCTCCTTGGTCAACAGAGATACGGAGGGAACCGCTGGCCCCATTCAAGTAAACTGCGGACCTATTTGTTAACCTGGATGGCTGAGGAGACTCCGGGTCAGAAGAGGAAAGCTCAGCCTTTGTACAGATTCGATTTCAGGTGTGTAAATATCTACCATGCGGTGCTGGGAACTCAGCAAGGCTGCTGTACTAAGAAAACACAGAAACTACCCAGGATTGACAAAGCTTCTCTTTTCATGGTGAAATAAAAAAAAAAAAGGGGTGAAAAGCTAAGTGACAGCCTGTTAGAAATGTGGTTATTGAGGAACACAGGAACTAATTCAGCGTGTTCTCATCCTAAAGTTTTTCTTCTCTCCTGGACAAAACCTGTGGCCTACACTTTACCTTTCAGCTGTTGATCCTTTGTCCAGTGTGGGAACTTCCTCTGCATTGCTTTAATCATTGAGACAAGTATTCTTGTGCCCTGATTAAGATGAACTTCACTGTTCCATGCTCCCTCAGGTTTATGTGAGTTCTTGTCAACCTAGAAATATCGAAACAACCAAAAGACGTAATTTCCCTGCTATAATGGATATGTTTAGGAGGCTTACTTTTGTTTACATGCTATTTGTTTATCAGGTTTTAGTGGAGTATCAGCAAATACCTGCATTAAACCAAATCCATTTCCATTGTCACCCCAGCCATGCCTCAGTGCTTTGCCGGCGTGAGATTCCCGGGAGATGATGCCAGCGATCAGGGCTGGTTCGACACAGTGTCTTTCGCCAACTCTCTTAATGATTGTTTTATATTGATTCATGGCTCTTAGGTCCCCTTCAGCAATCTTTTCTGAAGCCCTAGTTCCTGTAATCAAAATCAAAAGTAAAGATACTTCCTTAATAGCTTTTAAAACTAAGAATTGTCTCTCACCTTTCTCCTTCTAATACAGACAGAATTACATGAAAATTTTGTTTGCCTCGCCTCTGGGAGGAGGCGAATGATCACCTACTGAGGTATTATGCAAGCTCAGCAGCTAGTGAGTGTTCAGCACTTTGGAAATGTGAAGGATTCGGGATTACGGTGCTGCAGAGACACGGAGTCATCTGGCAGAAGGGGGATACTCACCGCAGTAGGGTAAACGCTCTGGCTTTGCAGTTTGGCATGAAGCCCCAGGGGTGTGAATTCTGCTCACACTGCCGTAGCAATCCGTGCGGCCCTGGGAGGCACCTGCAGAGGTGACACAGAGAGGCTCAAATGGTAAAAACCTTCTGCCACTGCAAATAAAAGCCCAGGGGAGGCTGCACTTTTTCCGCGAGGGACGGGCGGGGGGGCATGGGGCTGCCTCTGTCTCTCCTTGTGATGGAGAGGAGGCGAGGTCCTGCCCTGAGCCTGCACCCTTCACCCTGATCCCACCCTTCCCTCTGAGGCCACCCCTCCCTCTGCAAGATTTGCAGGGGGACCCAAGCACTCTCTCCTCCGATAGAGTTGAATGGCAACTGAGATTTTGGGGAGGGGGGTGAGGAGGTGCATCAATGCCTTCTGCTTCCCAGCCCCAGGGACTTTGTCCCCAGCTGCTTGGGGTGAGGCAGCGAGGGAGGCCAGACTCACCCAGGAGGGCGGCAAGGCCCAGCAGCGTGAGCATCGGGTGCATGGGGCAGTTCTTCCTGAGCACGCAGAACAGCCTGAAAATCAATCAGTCAGCATAGGCACGCATGAAGAAATGGATATATCTCACAGCTTGCTGAACAAACACAAAGAAATGCTTTCTGAGCTCATGGAGTTTCTCTTGATTGGGTAGGCAAATAGAGGCATGTCTCTTTTTATGGGAGACCCCAGTGGTGGCTCTCCCCCTCCAGCACAAACCAGGCTGCAGCTCTTCTCAACAGACTTGTGACCTCTCAATCTGATGGTGTTTCAAACCCACGCCTCCTACCACACCTTGGTAACTTCCTCCAAAACTCAAAACCTGATATTTAATTCAGAAAAAATAAAATTAATAATGTTCAGTGCCCTGTGATGCTGCACTCCCACCATGAACGCCCTTATTCTGTACACAGACTGCCTTTGCCACACCTGGACGGCTTTGCCTGAGTCTCCCAAGACTTTCTTTACACTCAGGAATTGGCACTTTCACGATGCAAGCTGTCTAAATCATTGTGGCTATCTACTTCAGGGGGAGTTGTACTCCGGAAGCACCTATTTCCCCTCACTGGCTGTGAAGGGAACCTGGGGAGACAGCCTCACATAAGGATGAGAGTCATCTAAATTCAGATGAGCTGAATCCAGAACTACAAGCCAAATCTCTGTATCCTTATTCAAGCAGAAATCATCATGCAGCAAACAGCTGCAGCCTTTGGGCCACCAAGGATTTTGCTGAAGGGAATGAGAAGAGCACCCGCCCTGAGCAGTACCTTACCTACTTGTCCTCGGCTCAGCTTCTGGCACAGGACTGAGGTCTGGGGAAGTTAAATATATAGGGAAAGCTGCCCTCCGTTCGGTGGTAATCTGACACTGTGATGAAATGTATTGGGCTGTGGCTTTGTGACAATTTACAGCACTTTTCCCCCATGTAAACAGCATCTGTTACGCTATAGCCGTTGGCAGGGTGGCAAGTATGTTCTTGGGAGTGGCATTTCCCAGATTTCCAAAGGCAAAAAAATCACCCTGTTGTTCTTTGGGCGTCTTTCCACCTACCTCTTATATTTCACACCCTGTTCCTGGAGGGAACCGTGGTGAGGGCCACGCTAAAGGTGTTTGCCCCAGCCCCATCTTGGCGTCTTGGGCCGTGTCCCTGCTGCTCAAGAAAAGAGGGCTGGGAATGACCCTCAAGAACATGGCATGGGAGAGCTTGCGGCTCCACTGCCTGGGCTGGCACTTTCCTGAGAGACTGGCCATGTCCACACTGGTGGCCCATCTCCCCCTGCTTGGGGAATGCTCCCATGACAGCATGCTCTGCTGACATCGCTTGTCAGCAGAAAAGAATAATGACGCCTTGACATTTCAGCTCTTAATTTCTTTTCATAACAGCTTTTAACGAGCCCAGCACATCTCTGAAATTATTCAGACAACCATTTGCCTCAGCATTTGTCTCTGCTCTGAGGGGAAGAGGTTTCTAGTCTATGCCTGCCTGTGAGTCGAGGGACTGTAATGAGCCAGGCATTCCCAGTCACCAAAACTACATTTGCCACCTGGGGACAAACACCCGTGCTAAGGATACCGGTGTCACCTTGGCGAGGGGTTATTTGCCTGCCATTGCCCAAGTTGGAGGGTCTTGGACCCTCTTGCCTCCATCCACCAAGCTCTTTGCCTGCCCTTGAGCGACCTCTCCCTCCCTCCGCTCCCCAGCCACGTTTCTGCACACTCACAACCCTTTCCCTGCCACTTGACGTGCCAAAAATACCACAAGGGGGGAAAAGTATTGCCTGCTGTGGGTGGGGGAGTCTGGTACGTATCTTTGTAGGCTGCAGTCGGTCTCCAAAGGGTGCGCGGGGGGGGCAGAAAGCAAAGGGCAGGAGAGCTTTTTGGGCACAGCTTTGTTAGTGGTGGGACTGACTTGTTCTGCCAATGCCCTTCTTTGCCAGCCCTTGTTCCCTTCGATGGTGTGGGTGCACGGGGTCTTGTCCCACCTCTGACAGCAGCTTCACAAGATAGAGCTGCTTCACAGGGCTGGCTGTGATGAAATGAGCGGAATGCTGCTCCCCCAGGTTTACCTTCATTATTTAATACCTGGGCAGAGGAGTGCCTTGTAAACCTGGCATATTTGCTCGAGAAGATTAATATTTTAACATTATCTCTTGAAAATCCCGTGGGAGGAAAAGCTGATAATGAAGAGTGGAGTGGGATTTCCCCCCCGCTTTTAGCTGGAGCAAGGCAAATAACACTGCGTCGGTTGTTAACCGCTTGCTGTGCTCACTGGCTTAGCCGAAACCCTCTGCGGCCTCTCTCCACCTTCTCCAAGGATCCCCTCATGCCCCACGACTTCACCTCTCCCGCAGGTCTCGTGCTGCTGTGGTGGGACTGCAGTGCTGGCTTTCCCAGCTGCTCCTCTCTCCTCTGCCTCCGCAGTTTACTCTTCCTGGTAGTCTCCAGTTGCTGGAATGAGGTGGCCCAAAACAACCTTCTTAAAATGTCACTTCTTTATCTTTAAAAGCAAAGCCTGGCTTTGTGGTGAGACGGGCTATGGCTGCCAAAGTACCACTTAATTTGCTAGGTGAGCTGTTTCAGGCCGGGCACACTGTGCCAGGGGTGTTGGCACCATTGTTTTGCTGACCTTCCCTTGCCCAGCCCTTGAACAACTGATGCCTCAATCATGTTAGTGCTCCCAGAGCCAATGTGGGGAGCTCCTCTGTGTGTCAAGCTGTGCAGCATCCACGTGAGCATCCTTCCCCATGTGTGCCAAGAAGATTACATCTAAATTTTCCATTCTTCCCTCTGGCTGCATCCTCACAGAGCCACGGAAGCACAGAGTGACGGAGGCTGGAGGGGACCTTGGGAGGTCTCCAGTCCGACCCCTTGCTGAAAGCAGTACTGACATTGAAGCTAGATTGGGTTTCTCACGGCCTTGCACTGTCAAGTTTTGAACACCTCTGAGTATGGAGATTCCCCAGCCCCTCTGTGCCATCGGGTACAGTGCTTAACCACCTACCATTTTGGGGAAAAACTTCTTTTATCAAGGCCAAACTGGCCTTGTTGCAACACTTGACTGTTGTCTCTGACCCTCTTGTTGTGCACCTCTGAGAAAAGTGTGACTCCATCTTCTCCATAAGCTCAACACAGCTGTCTGGAAATGTGTCCCAAACCCCTTGGTTTCTTCGGGCTGGGCAGACCCATTTCCTTCAGCTTGTGCTTGCATAACTTCCGCTCCAGCTCTGTGGCCTGCACTGGCCTACAGCACGTCAGGGTCCGTTTTTTACTGGGGAACACAAAACTCAGCACAAGTGCCAAGCAGATGGGAGGGATCACTTCCCTGGACCTGCTGGTGTTGTTTCTCCTAACACAGCCCGGAAGGTTGTTGGCTGCTTTTGCTGCAAGGGTACATTGCCCACTCGTGGTCAACTTCTTGTCCACCAGGACCCCCAGGGCTTTCCATGCAGAGCTGCTTTCAAACAGGCTGGTCTCCAGCACGTACTGGTGACAGGGGCTTTTCTGCCCCAGGGGTGGGACTTGGCAGAGCCTGTAGCTGAATTTTACAAGACTCCTGTCCAGCCTGTCCACATTCCTCTGACCAGCAGTCCTGACCCACCGAGCCCCTGTGAGCTTGCGGGGAGTGCTCTCTGTCCTACATTGGTACTGAGGACACTGAAGAGAGCTAACTGCAGGACCTGTCCCCAAGTATCTGGCCACCAGCAAGATTTTGAACTGTTGGCCATCAACCTTTGGCCACAACAGCCCAGCTCAGCCTCTGTATAGAGCAACCTGACAGTCCTGCTACTGAACTAGCTGGGGTAAGCGGTAAGTGCGTGACACCTACCTATAGTAAATATAGCAAAGGCTGCGATGATCCAGACAATAAATACTATTCACAAACAGCTCTTCATTGATCGCAGCAGTCACATGGGAGAGAAAATTATGGTTTACCCAGAAGCCAGACTGCAGGGCACTGGATCAGATCCGATACCAGCTACCCTGCTCTTCTCTCCTGTGTCTAGCCAGAGGGAAGGACAGCCTCCGGCAATTAAATGCTGCAGGGCAGACATTTGTGGGATAATATGGTCCCTTATATGGCCCTTGTGGCTCAGGCATGAAGTCATGTCTTATCATAGAATCATGGGATAGTTTGGGTTGGAAGGGACCTTAAAGACCATCTAGTTCCAACCCCCCTGCCATGGGCAGGGACACCTTCCACTAGACCAGGTTGCTCAAAGCCTCATCCAGCCTGGCCTTGGACACTTCCAGGGAGGGCCCAGCTTCTTAGGGATTGTCTCTGTTTTGAAGGAAAAGGTACAAAAAAATATATGCTGCCTGTATTTTTATTATTATGACAGGAATCTATATTCCTGATTTCTGTAACTGCGTACATACGCAAACCCCTCCTGAACTCTGTCAGTTCCTTGACCTGAATCAACTGAGGTGTGGCTGAATAGGCAGGGAATCCATAAAATAAAACCTGATTTTAAAGGTCAGAAATGTGACCTGCTTTGCAACAAGAAATCCTTCCAGTCTTTGGACATGAAGAGTTTCTGGAAGGCCAAGGGCTGCAGCTAGGCAGCTCATGGGGTGAAGGCACCAGAGAGTCTCAGGTCAGCTGTGTCCTCACTGTGTGGGTTTTTTCATGCTCTTGAACATTTCTCCTCTACTGCTAATTAGCTTAATAAGGGTAGGATAAGAAATGAGTGATCCTAGTTATTCCTTCATGGGAGAAACTCAGCTGACATAAGCTTCCCAAAGCAATAAGCCCATTGAAGCTGTGGGAGGTAACCCAGCCCGTGGCAGGGAGGTGGGATGCTCTGGGTGCCAGCAGCTCCTGCACTGGCAGCAGGTACCTTGTCCCAAGGCTGCACCGTGGCTTCGTGGAAAAATACAGGGGCTTGTAGATGGTTGTGCCGGTTTTGTGTGGCAGAGTTTTGGTAGTGGGGCAGAAGATACAGGGGTGGCTCCTATGAGAAACTGCTAGAAGCTTCATCAGCTCCAAGTCGGACCTGAATCTGGCCA